AGATCGTCAGGTTTTCCCTTGGGCGCTAAAACGAGATGGCGGAGTGAGGAGAGCGCTTGGGGCGTGGTGGTGTTGTACTCACTGGCAAGGAGGTACATCAGAGAGAGTTCTTTCCATCATGGTTGCCTCAAAACTCGTACTCAGCGGCAGCAGTGAGAGAGCGCAAACATGCATTGCACTTGGCTATGGCTTCTATGGGCGCCTGGCTGGCCGTATGACAGCGCGAGCGAAGTGTGGAGCCGGCATACGGGAATCGTTACCCTCCAGCCCGTTCCTGTGCTTTTTTTGGCCGGAGGAAGTGGCACGCTAGTGCAGCTGCTAACCATTCTTTTCACACACGGCAAGGACAGGAGTTGAGTGTACAGTTTGTCTATAAAAGTGTCGTGAAAACGCTGATTTTCGTTTTCTCTTGCAGCAGTCTTTGGTATACAGTGTGACGTTAGTACTCCTACACAGTTTATACAGTGGTGTTGTTTTAGGTATTCCCCATAATCAAATTCCCCGAAGATGGACAATGGCCATCTACCTTGATGATGACTGCTGATCATGACGATCGCGTTGTTCCAAGTCATACGTTGAAGTATGCGGCTGCATTGTATGAGAAGGTGAATTTTTATCTGATTGGCCGATGAGCTGTGATAATTATATTTAGTTCTCTTGTTTTACGGAAATAAGGATCTCATTTAGAAAGGAAGATGCAACTTCCACCGTTTACTCAGAGGGAAGGACCATTGGCTAAGAGCTTGCGGTACCCCATCTCTTCAGAAAATTGTTTGAGAATGGGGCATATAGGTAAAGTGGCCTTTTCTCGATGTTGCCGAGGGTCAGTAGCCCTGCTTGTGGGAGAGAAAAGATCAGGATCACAGCAGTTCGCATGGAGAAAGGCACACAGATGTGCGGAGCGGGTATTTTGTGGCCGTGGATGACGCGGAAGTGCTACAATGACAAACTAAGCGCCCGCTTGCTGCTTATTACGCGTCCGATACGGAGATCAAGTCCTGGATCAGCTTCCACCACCGCTAAAAAAACCCTTTATTCCTCTCGGAGGCCGTTGTATTGGTAACACACTCCCACGGGAATGTAAAAATAGCGAGATGAGAAGAGAGAGATGCACTTTAGAACGTGAGTTTCTTCGCGCGTAAGGGTAGATGACGTGCCGCAGGTCCGCTATTCTCTCCCTCGAGTGGTGCTGTGGTCAGTCATGTTCTGAGGAGATGCGTTGATAGGTGAAGAACATAACCAATACATAGATTATCACCAGTAGTCTTTACACTTTGCCAAAATATTTTTAGGCTCAAAAGAGAATCACCAGTAATCGTTGCACTTTGCTAAAATATTTTTATAGGCCAAACAGCACGAACTCCAGACAAACCCACTTCTAGTCCGCGTCGAGGTCAAGGCTGGTCATGGTGCTGGGAAGCCTACTGCCAAAGTGGTGAGTTGAATATTCGAGTTGAGTGGTCGTGATCAGGTTCGACGAGAAGGAAGTGCATCGTTGGTAGCAACATGGAACCCGTAGAATGTGGGCATTGTTACGAACAACACCCCTTACCATTAGACAGCGTTCAGACTTCGCGACGGCAGCGCTTCGGGCGATCGACGCGATCAATGCAGTCGAAAGCATGCGCATCGATCGCGTCGAACGCGCGACCGAAGCGCTGCCGTCGCGAAGTCTGAACGCTGCATAGAGGACAACAACGCGCGTCTAGAATGCTCAGCAGATGACTGCCTGCTCACATCAGTTATGTAAGGGATCACTACCTACCTTTACTACGGCACTGCTTCTCTCAGGTTGAAATTTCTCTCAACGGGCAACGATACAAGCGATATAACGCGCAACAAAGTGGCTTCATCCGAAATGGAAGTGTAGCACGGAGCAGTTGAACACGGCAGTAAATGGTTGAGGTTCATCGCTGACCAGTACCGCACGTTCCGAGCCTATAGTTTCTTTTTGTCCCAGGAGTGTCTGAGTGCGAGCTTTAACTGCAGTGTGACGCCGTGAGATCCAGTCTTTTTCCGTTATGAAGCCCGAGCCCCTGGATGGGAAAGCTCAGCTGATCAGGGCGAATAGCGATCTCCTACGTATAGTGGGAGATGATAGCTCAGAAGGGTGACATGACGACGGCTGGACTGTCTGGTGGGCACGCGAGCTAAAATTCAGAGAAGCAGTGGTAGCTCCCCGACCTTTTGGCCTCTTCCACTACTAGAGGTATGACGAGCGGTAGATGGCGACAGGAGCATGGTTTCAGCGACTGGAATATTCCGAATGTTGCTAAAAGAAATCAGTTTTCAGATAGCTGAAATTGTTGATATGTACAGTTTCCTGCAGAGAGTTCTAAACCTCGAATGGAGAGACTGATTTTTTTTTCATTGGTTAATCATAATACCGTTGTTGATAATTGTAGGCATTAACGTACGACATTTAAGTTATTTCGTGTTCTTGACTTCATTCCGAGGAAGATTTTAGATAAAGTTATTCAAGCGTCTAGGTCAATCTGGCATTGTCGCTTTTTTTCTTTGTTGTGCTCGATTCTCTTGGTATACCTATATTGAGTGAAACACACCTATATTGAGTAAAACCTTTTGTTATAAGGATATCCTGATGACTGGTTTACTGTTGTAAGCGAAATTCCTCAATAAATGATGCTTGAATGAAAATGAAATTGAAAATGCAAATAATGTTCTTTTTTTTCCAGAGTCAGTGAGAAGACATGAAAAGGAAAGGGTGAGAGTACATCTATACTCCGTTACTGGTATAGCGTCTGCTACTTGAGGCCGCCATTTGGACTTTTGCTGCTTCAGTCGCATTCAAAATAGTAAAACAGATTTTGCCCATTTGGGGTATCTCTGAATTTCGCCCTACTGGTTCGCTGTGGTTGGGGGGGGGTTCAGTTGTTACTACCAGTTGTTAGCTCTACCAGTTGGTGGAGCGAATAGGCGACAGCAATTTGTGGGCAACGTCTGATACGAACGGTATAGAATGCCTTCTCAAGGTTCCAGGAAGGCTAGGGGTCAACGCTCCATCGATACCTCCATCATCGCGATGAATAGGGCATCAGTGGAGGACTTGTAGATCATGAAGCCGAACTATTCGTGCGAGGCAAGGACGAGTTCCCTCAGCCTTGATATCTGCTCGTACAGCTTATGTATGTGGAGTCAACTCGACGCCGTGGTATTAGGTTGTCCGGAAAGTTCTCAGCGTTTTGGGTGTTTCACTTTAAACGATCGTAACTTTTTTAATACTCATCGGATTTAATCGAAATAGGCACCATTCGAATCAGCACACTTTTGCCAATGTGACAGCAGTCGAGAAATCCCATCAAAGTAAAAAACTGGGTGGTCGAAAATTCACGAAATCCACGAAGGCTTTTTTGCCTGGTCCTGATTGATGAAGTATTTTCCAGCAAGGAAGTTCTGAAAATGTTTGAAAAGGTGATAGTCGGTTGGTGAAAGGTCTGGAGAATATGGCGGGTGAGGTAGAACTTCAACCCCCAATTCGTTCAATTTATGGATAGTGATTTGTGAAACGGGCGTTGTCATGCAAAGGAATCGGACCCTTTCTTTTGATAAGTGTTGGCTGCATCTGACAAAATTTTCGGTACAATTCGTCGATTTCTTCACAGTAGGGTTCTGCTGTGATGGTTTGGCCTGGTGATAAAAAGTTATAGTGGATCACACCAGCCGATGACCACCAAGCCGTGACCAGAATCTTTTTTTCGTGAGGGTTCGGCTTTGAAAATTACCTCGGTGGTTCGTCGAAATCCAACCACTGTCCGGAACGTCTCCTGTTATCATACATGACCCATTTTTCATCACAGGTGACAATTCGGCCCAAAAACAGG